GGGTCCCGCCGACACCAGCTCCCGCGGCCGCGGAGAGACCTCGACCCAGCCCCGCCTCCCCCTCCGCGGACGGCGGAAACAAGGCTGTGAACAGCTTTGCTGCTTTCGCTGCTCCCCGGGGTTGGGACACGCATGGCTGGGGAAAGTTTCCCGCCCAGCGCAACAGCCACCGCGCGTGTCTAACCCTACACAGGGTAGGGTTTCGCCCCAGGACCCGGCATTTCGGGACCCTGCCCCCCCACACGCACCCCCTAACCTACCCTGGGCTGCAGACAGAGGAGCTCGGCTGTTCGCCCCGCTGGGAGACAGACTGAGCACCACGCCAGCCAGCGCTGCCCTACAGCTACGGTCTGAGCCCGCAGGGATGTTGCCATTTCCCTTGCTTTCAATTTTTATTTTCATCTTCCTTCTCTCAAGCTGCTTAGAAAAAGCTTGAAGCCAGAAGAAGGAAAGGTGTTTCAGCGTCAGTGGGCACACCATGCTAAAGAACTGAATAGCAGCCCTTCGTGGAGGGAAAATACCGAGGGCCGAAATTTCTCTGGGAGAGCTAGAAACATATGGCAGAAGGCAGTCTGCCAAAGCTCGCAGTAAGCAAGAGAGATTTAGCAAAGAGGTATCAAGCATTTTCCTGTTTAGTTAGTTAATCTTAAAAATACTCATCCTTAGAGATGGTGACTTGTTTTACAAGGTCCCCATGACTAAAAAAAAAAAGCATGTAAATATCCTGTGGCTGTGAAACCACTACCTGTTCTTTTCCTCCAAAACACTCTTCATCATTGATGGTCATTTTTCAAGTTGACACAAAAGCTGCGATTTCATTAAAGACAAGCCCTCCTCCGAAATTTGCAGATCCATTAACCAGCAGTACAACTGCCCTCACTCACTCACCACGGGATTTGAGAGCTCTGCACTGTTCGTAAGCGAGACTCCCCCGGATACAGGGCTGGCAGGAGAGACGGATCAGCAGGCTACGGGAATGCAGAACCCAACTCACTTCTTCCAGAAACCTTTATTCCCTGCAGCTTTTCAGCCAAACAGTAAAAAGAGTCCGAAGGTGACAGTTACAATCCCTACCCACAAGTCCTCACACACGCATCTTTTCTTCCGACATCAGCCTTCCGTTCAAGACGTGGGTATTAACTCTCAGTCTTGCTGCTCTGTGTCTTGTTCAAGTGGTCAAAGCTTCTTTGGAGCATGGAAAGGGAGCTTTTTAGCTGTGAAGATACAACCATCATACCCCCCCCCCCCCCCCAATTACTTAAGTTAGTCTGCTGCATGGGTGAGTGGTATCAGGAAAATAACATCTCCCTCCTCCTTTTCTTTTAAAGATTTCATGCAATTTCCTCCTCCCTGTTTCTATAAACAGTTGCCTTTTACTGTGGTCTCCTAACAGCTTACACTTCATCATTACTAACAGTCCAGTATGATAAAGTCTTAACACCTCGCCAGACAACAGTGCGGAAGATAAGCTACCCCACTCGTTTTTAGTCACAGTTAATGTTCATAGCAAATACTCTAAGGAACATGACAGCAAAGCATGAATTTTCTTTTAGTACCCAGCCCTCCCAGTGCATTTTGGTGAACAAAATGTGTTTAGATTATTGACAACCCTCGGAAAACACAAGGTAACAGGCACTAAGATGACTTCCAGACGAAAGTGTTATTTGGGATGAAAAAGGTGGTTGAATTTTTTTTTTTTTTTTTTTTTTTTTACACTGTTCAAAAGGCAGTTTAACACTTAGAATTAGGATTTTTTTTTTTTTTTTTTTTAAAACATAGAAACCAGGAAATTCATTTCTACAGTGAAATTTCCAGCACTCAAGATTTTTCAAGCTGTGATCAAAATGGTTAATAGATTAATAGCAATTCTGTGTGTAGAGACACCTCTGAACAAGGAGTATCAAAAATGGCTTCTTTTTCTACCCTCCTTTAGTGTGTGGGAGAACACAGAGCAAACTGGTGATGGATAGAGGTACATATGAACTCCCCCACAGCTTTCCTAATCTAATAATTTCTCTGTCACGTTTTAAGATTTAATAAAAGAACTTAAAATCAGAACATTCATAGGTTATAAGTAAAAAACAAAGTACAAATTTACTGTCCTTCACTTACTGAGTTGAAATTTCAGCCTAGGGGTTTACCAGTCCTGGACTTCAGGATCGGAGACACGCAACAGCATTCAACAACCTCATTTTTCATATAGTGTTTGTACTATGTAAGAGCCTGGAAGTGTAAATTACTGGGAAGAAGGAAGATTAACTCCATAGCTATGGAGCCTCTCAGAAACATAAGATCTGTAGAATTTGTTTTTCACTGGAGATTAGGTGACCCATTGATACCAAGGCTAAGTGAAGCTCTTGCCAATATCTAGAAGAGTAGTGGGGAGCAAAAGCCAGGATAAACTTGAATGAAGAAACCCCATAATGAGGTGGGCAAATACTTCACATTATGTTTTGAGTCTCCTTAGAAAAGAGGATCTGTTCTGAATTACTCCAGTGTTTGCTTTGTCATGATTCAGAACTGCATCAACGCACCTCACCAATAAAGGTACTTGACAGGTTTAAGAAAATTGACATGAATATTTAATCTTAGTCCAAAAGGGGAAAAAAAAAGCCACCAAAACATCAGAAACATGAGCACTGCCGTTGTACCAAATTCAAGCCTAGGGTGAAACAAGTAAAGGAGTCATGAAAACTTCAGTTAGGACCAGAAGAAATCAAACAAAAGCTATGATGGCAGAAGGGAAGAAACTTGAGTTGAGAAACAAAGAGTATCACCAGGAAAGACTGGCAGACCTACCTGCTCAAGCATTTCAATTGAGTCTCTTAAAACTCCCTTCACATGTTTAACCTGTTCCTTATCATATTGAGGGATCTCCTCTTTTGATACCATTTCCGGGGATATGCTGAAAGAGATTGAGATTACATCAGAAACATGAACCAAGCACCTCCATGCCTTTCTAAAAGCAACTGCGCTCTGCCACCATTGCTCTGCCATTGCTAAAAGCACCCTTTTCCAAAAGCCACATAAAAAGCTGCCTGCAGTTGAATTTCAATCCCTGTTGCCTTGAAGATACTGCTTCAGACCTTTGTAGACAACAGCCACCAAGAACAAATGTGCTCGCATTACGTCTACACTGTAAGTTCTCACACTTCAGAGGGCAAGATCCTTCTTATGAAGAAAGTTACTCTAATCAGTTCTGAGATCATCACTATGGGAGGTCACCACACCACTTCCATACTCAAGATCAGGTTATGGTTTAACTTGTTTGCTGATACCATATTCAAGAGAGGAAGCAACATCCAAGCCTCTTCCATGTGTCTGAATACAAAAGGCACCTAACATGGAAGTTTGAGGGGGAGAGGAAACTTAACAGGAGACTCACAGAAGGAGGCTAAAAAGCTAAATAAATCTTTAACATTACATTTGAGATCATGCTGGTTGACACAGGATGAAGTGAACATTTCAGTTCTGTGATCAGCACTACGATACTCACAGGAGATGAGTCACAGCAGGGTGATAAATGCAAGCTAAGGTTAACACTCCCCCAAAAAACAGCTTGTCAGAGGAGAAATTCATTACTGCAAGATGCAGTCACACATGTCACTGGATATCAGCATAGACCACAGAAGAGGAGCAAGCCTCAGCAGCTTTTGAAAACTTACCACCAAGTTTCATTGTTCAAAATCTATTTCTTTAGACCAGATTCTCACATAAGCTGAGGAGGAAAGAAAGCAAAGATTGTGAATTCAACTTACTTCAAAGAGCTTTCTTCCTGAAGCTGGACATGATAGAGGGACTGAGCTGCATGCTCTATCTTTGACAGTTTGAGAAACAGTGTTATATTCAGCAAGACCAAGAGCAGCAAACTGTAGAGAGAAGAAAAATCAAGTCGTGTAACAATTTTGGTTGCAATGCTACAGAAACAAGATCTGGGCTAAAAACAGCTATGAAAAGAGAATCCTTCTGGGAGAAAAAGGGTGTGGGGCAGTGCTATACTGATAATAAAGATCTACCCAAACAATTCTTAGCAACCTATAGGAACGACAACAGTTGTCTCCTCTTGGAACTTTTAAAACTAGGAATAAGTAAATTCTACAAATGTTTTTATAGACTCAGACATATGTAAACCTGCAAGGTAGACTAGTTTGGCAAGTCAGCATTTTCATTCCGTGTGTCACTTCCTAAGTCAATCCATTCCCCTCCTATACCTGCGTGCTCCTATATATACACATTCAAGTTAGGTTAGGCTCTATCATGCTACATGCAATGTTAACATGTAAGTGAGGTTCAGGCAAATACAGATAAAGATCAAGATGAGCTTGAGTCAAGCCACATTTTAATGCAAGTGAGTACTTACAAGACACTCATTACTACAATGATGGTGGTGGTCCTACTTACAGCATCTCTTTTCCTTCCTATAGGGCATGGAAGAGAAGGAGGTTAAAAAGTACTGAAGAACATTCCTAAAGGATGTCTGCAGATACACGTCAGTGCCCAGCATTTCACACAGAATAGCTCAACAGCTTCTGATGGAAAAAAATAACAGATCATGTGGGTGCACAAGATCATCTCCAATATTCACCAAGGCATTTCTGCAGTCATCTCAGACAAGTCAGCCAGCCAGTCAGGCTCTTCCATTGGGAGCAGGATTCACCCCCACCCCAGTATGCTGGGAAGAACACAGCTCTGGGGCATGTTCCCATTAAAACCAGACAGCCTGAGAAGGCTACAATCCATCCATTACACTCATGCAGCACATAGACTGCTAGTCTCACACGAGCAGGGACAGGCTGCAAAGTGGCTCTCTTCTGCTTGTTCTCCTGGCCACATTAGTCTTTCTGACAACCAGTGTCAAACCAAGCTCTCCTTTAACTTGTCCCACCCTTACCAGCTTGGTTTATATATTGGCCTGATGACAGCCTTTTGAAAGAGCATCTGCTAGTCATCAGACAACAGGGGCCAGACACTAGTGAGGGACAGGAAGTGTGCACGTCCTCTCCAAACTGAGCAGCAATCACCTACCACTGTGGTCAGGCTGATCTTTAAATATAATTTCCCTGATCTCCTAAAACACTTTCTTACATTCATATTTTCTGCCCTGGACAAGGAGCATACACGAAAGCTGTCACGTATACTGAGACAGACACACTCACCTGAAAAGGTGGAGCAGCAGTAGCAAAATTAAGTAATCAGGAAATAACCTCAGTTAGGTAAAGAG